CCTTTTCTTTGCCTCCTGTCCTTCCTAGTTGTCAACGGTTCTTTAGGTCTCAATCGGTGTTTAAACATAGCCAAAACGTAGGGCATGCTGGTCAAAAGAAATCAGAAGACAAACAGTGGCCACGCTCTTTCAATGACTGTGTCACTCTAATTAATGTGCTTTTCCTGTTTCATCAACGTGCATCGTTTACCCACCATTAATTACAGCACTAAGACTGACCACTCAAAGACAGATTCATGGAGCACTCAAATGCTGGTCATGGAAGGTATTGGCAGGTTGTTCTGTTGAACAATCAACTGCAAAAAATCCTTCTGAGCACGTGAAGTGGTGAGAAGTTCTCAATACAGTGTATTGGGCACCAAACTGAAGCTGGAGCCTAAGAATTTTCACCATGTCAGAGAGTTCCTCAAACATGGGAAAAATTCTGCATGTGGTCTGAAATCAAAAGTCCTGCCCACAAACATGGCATTTCCTATTTCCGTGAAGGTGGAGTCAGCTCTAGCTTCATGAATATGTGGTTCCTAGAGAAAAATAGTTATTTATATAATCAGCTCTTTCCAGTTAGTTTCAGTTTAGTAACCTCACTGCTTGGAACCCAGAGTGTACAGCACAGGCCAACTTAGAACAGATCTGTTGAGTGTACACAGTGTGGAGCTGGAGCTGGTGGAACACAGCAGGCCAAGCAACATCAGAGGAGCAGGTAAGTTGACATTTCGTGTCGGGACCCTTCTTCAGAAGCCATTTCTGAAGAAGGGTCCCGACCCGAAATGTCAGTTTTCCTGCTCCTCTGATGCTGCCTGGCCTGTTGTGTTCCTCTAGCTCCACATTGTGTTATCTCTGACTCCAGCATCGGCAGTTCTTACTATCTCTGTTGAGTGTACAATTCTTTAAGATGGTCATGATGCACCTTTGTACCACTATGGATATGATGCTCGGACACTGGGGTTCAGATTTGCACTGGGGAAAGAGGGTCAGGTTCCCTTTGGGAGGGTGATTCAAGATCACTGTCAGGGGTCAGGTACACTGAGATTGTTAACTGTGAAGATGACTACGTCAGAAGATGCCTAAACTTCTTGGAACTGTCAATCCAGTAAAAAGCCTGTCAAGAAATGTCAAACCTGTCAGGACCTAGCAAAATGTAATGTTATGAATGAGAGTGTTTTTCTGAATCTAGTCTGCAATACAGAACTTTCAGTGAAAAACTTTATTTCTTTTCTCCTGTGTGCCCAGGTACTTGTAGATATGAGATGAGTTGACACTGCAGGCAAAAAGGAAAGGGTGATGTGGGAAAGAGGCACTAAGTTGGCACAGTGGTTATGAGAGTCCATGGTTTATGAGTAGAGGAGCAGAGGGTGGCAAAGGGGTTATAAGGGGCTATGTGGATGGAAAAGGGGCATTGGAGGTACGATGGGAAAGTAGGATGAGTAAAGCATGTTAAGTGGCATGGGTTAGCATAAGGTGAATTCTAAGCTTTCCTCACTGCAGAGTAACCTGCATTACATCATCACAACATGAAGGGTTTCCATTTCTCCTGTTACAAGGAGTGGTACTCACTTTACAGTTCTGCATTTGGCATTACGACCAGGTAAGGTTCCATCTAAGAAGTACTCTGCCTAATCCAAGATCCGATAGAGGGAGAGGGACTAAAGTTGATGTGTGAAACATTTCATAACAAGGTCCCTTACAGATAAAGTGACAAGGAGCAGGAGTAAGAAGACTTTGCCACAATTTAAACAATTAAATCTGGGATAAGGATCCACCTCCTTAATCTGACACAATTCTTTCCTATGTAAGTGTCTCACAGTACCAAGCTGAACAATGCTGACTGATGGCCTGGTTATGTAACTGCTATGAGTTTTGCACCACTCACTGTAATACTGTACAAACATACAGCCACAGCCAATTCCTGCAGCCAAGTTGACTGAATTTGCTAAAATTTTAAAAGGCAATTTTGTCAGAAGATAAAATCTTTTCAAAATCTGAAAACAACAACAGCAGATCTCACCATGCTTCATGAGCAGCATGTTACTGTTAACCAGCTATTGATGCCTCCTTTTTCGTGTTCCATGGTAGATAATTTTAAAAACCATCTGTTCACACCTTCATTTAACTATAGTGTGCGTTTATAAATATTATGATTCAGACATTCTGAATTATTCTATTTTCTGTAGGAGGTACCAGTGAATGCTGTCATGTTAATCTAAGATCATATTTTACTTAGGTTGTGGATTTCTTTTGGGTCTGCAACACAAAACAATCCGGCTTGTGTCCTCTGCAAACCGGATCTGCTTCAACATGCGTAACATCTGAACAAATGTAGGAAGACTGGGTTAAAGAAGGAACTTTATTCCAGTTTATTGTACAACATACAGAAAAGGGATGTGGCTTATCCTTGGAGTTCAGCTCAGGCTCAGGACTGGGCCTAGTCTATTATAATTGTGAGTGACGGCCATTGAGCATGTGCAAATGCAGACCGGGATGAAGCAGACTGTAGAAAACATCAGCACATGTTCCAATGATGTCACCGAGCTGTGTGCAGTTATGTCATCACCAGCACATGCAATGCTGGCAGAAGGGGCCAAGAAGGCTGGGAACCCTGGGACAAAGGCCAGCGCTAAGAGCAGGGGCAGAGATTGGCGTGGAGCAGAGGGCTGTAAAAGATGCCTGCACGTGGAGTGGGAATGGGACGGGGCCTGCACTGGGAGCAGTTCTGGGAATGGAGATAGGTTGCATTGGGATCCAGGTTCCTTTTTGCCTGGGAATGACAGGAAGACTAGGGAAAGAATGGAAGGCCACAGCAGGAGTGGGAGAGAGGGGGAGGTTTTTTGAATGGAAGAGAGGAATGCTACAAAGATAGATCAACTTCAAACCAAAATAAAATCTTTTCATTATGTTTTACAAGTTACTTTCATAATGACATTCTGCAGTGCTATCTTGAGATAAGCTGACACTTCTATCATTTGAGAATGATGTATTTCCTTCTGCTTTTGCACTAAATAGATTTGGTGCACAGTCTAATCCTCCCAGCAACCCTTCTGTTCAACACTCTTATCTGAGCATCTCTAAAGTCACTGACTGAATTCTGAAGACAGCCATATGTGAGCACACTTTCTTTTAATTTTGTTCCATTATAATATAATATAATCTATATCAGCAAATTGTGATTTGACTACATTGTTCACAAGAAATTTGAACATATAAAAAGCTATGTTCAAATTTTTCATATGCATTGCATTCATTGAACTTATGGCACTTATGAGTGAATCCTAATTGTTTCCAATGTTTTATGAGAGAGGCTTCTGTTGCAGTACTCCAAGGGCCACGAAGAATGGACAGAACCTAGGTGCATGATCACTGCACCTCCCATATACCCAGAATATCCAAAATATTCAAGCCAAAATACCGACATGACTGGAAATGACAAGCTGTCTTAGGAGCATTAGTGGTGAATGACCAGGTATCTTTAATAAGTGCTCTTGTCTTTCTTATTCCCTTTTCCCTGGATTATTTTCTGTCTAGTAGGATTTGTTGAGTTTTTTTTTCTACCTGTGATGTCTGAGCATTCACAGTATTAATGTAAGCTTTCTCTTAAATCTACAAGCCTTATACATGTCAAGTGAAGATTTGCTCAAATAACCCAAATACTCTCTTGCTTGGAGTTGGTCGAAAGCATAAAAGAGAAATGTCAGCAATGGCCAGCACAGCACATTTCACACAGATCAGTGACTTCAGATCAGCAGGTAGGAGACCATGAGCTCCTGCATTAGAATGCTGCTGAATATGAATAGGTTTGAAGGCTTGTCAGCAGTAAAAATCTCATTCCAAATATTCTGACATATTTGCTAAAGTTTTCAGTATTATTTCTTCAAATGATAGCAAAGGAAACTGAAATATAATCACTCCATTTTTTATGAAATATAATTTTATTTATGACAATCCTCTTCGACTGGGGCACAAATGATTTTCATGGTATGGTTGGCAGAATATGGCCATCAAGACAAAGTGAACAGCAAAATCATCAAAGCAGTGGGTTTTTTTTTAAACCTTTTTTGGAACAATGACATTAGCACTAAACAGAGATATTTTATTGCCATGATGCAAAATTGTAAATATCCCTTGTCTCAAATATATGTGATTTTTGAGGGGTCAGCAAGATAGCTGACTTCCCAGATGCCAGATCTTGGATTGAGTATGCCAAAATGCAGGGAAATTGGGAACATTTCCATACAGATCATCCCAGCATCCATATGTGGTAGAGTAGTAATAATCTTTAGAAGAATCAAGGCTAGAAACCCTTGAGTAAGAAAAGGTATTAGGCCTCACTTCCCTATCTTTTCACCTTGATTTTCCCCTGCCTATTTTGCTTGGCTTTGGCCAGTATAACGAATTTTGATTTACAAAAAAACTGCAAGTGCTTGAGAAACTCAACAAGTCTACCAGCATCTGTGGAGAGTTAGCAGGTTGAGTGCAACATGGCTCTTCTTCAAAACCCAGAACTTGATTTCTAAAGAAGGCTCATGTAGAGCTGAAACAGTAACTCTGTTTCTCTCTCCACAGCTGCTGCCAGATCTGCAGTAATTCCATCACTTTCTGTTTTTATTGCAGATTACCAGCATCGGTTTTGCCTTTATAAAGGAGCCCTATGTGTTTACACCAGCGTTCTGTCTTTCTTGTCCTCATTTGTCCTGTACATAAGGGATAAATGAGAGCCAAGCACAATAGAAGGGAAAAATAAAGTGATATTTTTTACATGAATGATAATGCAATTATAGCACAAGTTGTTTCAAGGCTCCTGTCCCTGCCTATGGATGATTGAGAAAATGATGTGGTGAAACTTGGAAGCCCAGTTTAGATGCTCAGGTAGAGCTACAGCTGGTACAGACCTTAGCATTGGAGTTCAAATAGTATGGAGCCACTGAACATTACCGATTTTGGAAAAAGCTATGCGGGAAAGTATATGTTCACATATGTTCAGAAACTGTTCACAACCAGCAGCTTACCTTGAAACTGTGAGAATATGATAGTTCCCATTCGCTCTCCATTTCTAAACACAACTTGTCCCTGTCAACAAAATGATAACATAATTTCAAAAATGTGGAGCACATCAAAATGTAAAAAGTTTCTGGAAGTTAAGAGAAGGAAAACAATCATCCAATAAGTTTTAATGTGGATTTAGTTGACTACTCACGACTAAAAACATTCCCCAATTTATTTTTTTTATACACAACATTTCTTCAAGACTAATAAGTCATAAGCATCCTGACCTCTGACAAACAGGAAACAGCAAATTTGAATAAAATTAGAAAGTAAACTCAGGTATGGCAAAATAAACAAGAACTTGGTTTACATCTTCAGGGCAAGTAACTTCAAAGAAAGATAGGATCACATTCTGGTAGTGGAATCAGTCATTTTTTCTTGATATCCAGAATCTCATTACTATTTTCCAAACCAACTCTCAATTTCTCAGGCTGTTCAAAGGCTACCATAAGACCAAAATGCATAGGAGCAGAAATAGGCCATTCAGCCCATTACCTCAGCTCTGCCATTCAATGATATCATAGCTGATCTGATAATCTTCATATCTACTTTCCTGCCTTTTCCCCATAAAACTCGATTCCCTCAAGAGTTCCTAACAAAAGTACTGGGGATATTGGAAGCATAAATAATGAAGAAAAATGCCAGAAACACTAAGCAGTTCAGATAGAATTTGTGGAGCTGAACCATGAATCCTACTTCTTACTTCACTCAGCTGCCTGACCTCCTGTGAATTTCCAGCATTTTCTAATCCTTCCTTTCCCCAACCCAGGAATATCATTGCATTTTGTGCCCTAACACTACCCTGATTAAGATCAGCTAGTTTAGCACAGATTGTGGCAGAGAAAGAGTAAATGGAAGTATCTTATATGATGAAAGTTGGAAGAAGTGGAAATCAACTTTGCACAATTTTATCTGCAAAATATTACATTGAATATGTGTCCATTTGTATTAATCAAATGGCAAATGTGGAAATAACATCAATATTAACATTTGGTTTGGCTGTCGAAAACAGTATATGTCACAACTGTGTTTTGATATTGCCCAATTCTTTTGAAGTTAAGGATCTTCGAAAAGAACGCATCTGATTTAAAAAAATCTGTAACTTGAGAAAAGCTCTAAATTAAGTTTTAAAGTCCTTTCAAGATGAAAGTCACAGCAGACGACATTTTGTTCTATGGTGGAGAGGCTGGGTGGGGATTAATGTCTGTTGAATGGTGTGTTTTCATTAATCATAAACGGAAGGATTTTAATTCCATTAACCCATGACCACACAATAGGTCCTTCTAAAGGCACGGGAAATCAATAGTTGTGTAATAAACTTTTAACTTTGATCTCGGTTAAAGCATAAAGCTGTACCGCAGTTCTTTTTTAAATTTGGAACAGTTAATGTCCAGGATATCACTTTTTTTTGACAAAATGTCAAATGTGTGTGTGTTAGGTGGAGGCATCTTTGGGGACAGCGACAGGGTTAACGTCTTTAGTGTAATTTATTCCAACAAAGAGTCATGTTGAATTCAAAACATTAACTCTGTTCCTCTTTCTACAGATGCTGCCAGACCTGCTGAGTGGTCTTGATTGAGAAAATGATGTGGTAAAGCTTGGAAGCCCAGTTTTGATGCCCAGGTAGAGCTATTGCTGGTACAGACCTTAGCATTGGAGTTCAAATAGTATGAAGCCACTGAGCATCTCTGTGCTTGTTTCACATTTCCAGGAATGCAGTAGTTTGCTATTGGTTATGTCTCACATCCTATCAGGCAACTCAGCATTTGTGAATCAGGCAAATCTGGGTCCAATCGCCACCTACTCTGACAGTCCACTGGTGAGAAGGTTAGCGCTTTTTCCTTCTACTTGTAATGTGAGGGTCACAGGGAAGAAGGGTTGGAGCAAGGGTAGTGAGCGAGGGAGGTAACATTCAGAGCTCATACTCTTGCCCATCATCTAGGTCCCCAATGGCCCAGATTGGGTCATGTGGAGGCCCCTGTAAACTTGGTGAGTAGATTGTCCTGATGCATCAGTCAGGAAACTAAGCAACTTTCCTGCCCAGGGACAAGGCAGTATTAGATAGTTAGTGCAGTGGGGCCCTTAAGTGGTCATTAATTGACCATTTAAAGATCTTAATTGCTGGCCAGCTGGGAAAATCACCCATGGACTTTGTCACACTGCATTTAACTGCAGAGGTGACGTGAAGTGGTACGAGTTTCACTCCAGATCCAACTCACCCAATCCTGTCCCCTCTCTGGCCTCCTCCTGGAAGGGCAAAATTCCACCCAAAAGCTAAGAAGGGGCCATACAAGCTAAAGAAATTCACAGGTGATGAACCACCCTGGAGGACATATCTGGTGTGGTTGAGACAGAATAAATAAGCGTTTCTATTTATCGATAAATATGAATAAACAATAACAAGTAAATCTTGATTATTTTTTATTGAAGTGACATTATTGTTCTGTAAGCTATGTCACAGCCACTTTAAGTAGCGTACAATCCCATAAACAGTAGAAGAGGAATGACTAATAAATATGTCATAACAGTTTTGATTGAGAGATATGCAACTTTGGCATACAACTTTTTATAGTCACACAAACAAGCAGATGGAGGCTTCAATTTAACATTCTCTCTTCAGGAAAATACTAATACTGACAATGATGCAGCCAGTGTCTCAGAGGGAATGTTACTGTTACCAACTGGTCCAAGCTGGCACTTGTTCAAACGCGGATAAAGGAGTTTCACACAACAAATGCAGCAAAACTAATGCAAATCCTCGGTTTCGAAAACAGTAACAAATTCTTAATCTTAGTTTAAAGACCTGACTATTCTGTCATTTGGATTAATGCATGTTTCTACATCAGCTGAAATTAAATTGTCAAAGTCTCTAAAAGTGTATAGTTTCTACTCTAGAAATCAATGGTTAATTTATAATGGACTCATTGCAACAGTCTCTTGACACATTAACTTAGATTCAAAACCAGCAGGAACGTCATAATGGGTTAAAACAACAGCATGGCTCAGGCTTTAGCTTCATTTAAGTATCAGAGATCAACTCTTTGTAAATATCAGAAAAGAATTTGAAAACCAGTTCACAAAGTGGATTCCCTTGTTGTTCAGTTGTGCTGTTGATTAAAAAGACAAAGTGGGGCCCAATATAATGTGTCTTCCAAAGAAATTTTCATTAAAGGTAATAAAAGTTATTTCTCAAAGGAGGAAAGATTTTGGTGTGTGACTGGCTCTGATTAAATCATGCTGCTTACTGTGACTAAATAATCTTATGCCCTAGAAACTAGTGAATGTTTTGTGAATTGTTCCTACAACTCCAACGTTCCTCTGAAATAGACTTTCCATGTAGGATAATCTCAGGCTGCTGAAATATTTACGTCAGTCTTTATGTTGGTGAGATTTTTGGAGGATTTTTTGCTGAGAGAACTAGTGAGATTTCTTATCTTCTCTCACTATAGTCACCTCATTAGTTGTCTACACCACCCCTATGGTGTCTCTCACATACAAACTCTGTCCCATCATATCACAAACCGTTCTCAAAACTGGTCACTAAGCGGATTTCCAACATAACGGTGCCACAGTGGCTCAGTGGTTAGCAACGTCTGTCCTTGATGGAGATGCATGTGCCCAAGAATGAGACTGATTCTAAAGAGTAGTCCATGGTAAGTCTGATGGTGGGATGAAACTTGTTGATATCACTATGTCGTTTCAGTGGTTCCTCACCACGGGTCCAAATGAAAAAAATGCTGTCAACGTATCTGGTGTAAAGCTTTGGTTGGAGGTTCTGTGGAGCAAAGAAATCTTGTTTGAACTTGTGCATGAAAATGTTGGCATATTGGGGGCAAATCAGGTCCCCATGGCTGTTCCGTGTGTCTGAATGAAGACCTGCTTGTTGAAGGTGAAGACCGTGTGGTTGAGGATGAAGTGGATGAGTTGTAAGATGACGTCTGGAAATTGGCAGCTGGTGGTATTGAGTGCTGAGGCTGTTACAGTGATGTCACTGTCGTCGTGGGGGTTGCTGGTGTAGCGTGCCAACAGGTCCATTGTGACGAGGAATGTTCCTGGTTCGATTGGTCTGTGGGTGCTGAGTTTCTGTAAGAAATCCGTGGTGTCACGACAGCAGCTGGATGTTCCCTGTACAAAGGGTTTCAAGATGCCCTCAACATAGACAGAGAGGTTCTTACACAAAGACCCATTGCCTGATATGATGGGACGTCCATGTGTGTTGGCTTTGCGTATCTTCGGAAGGCAGTCAAATTCCCTACGTGAGAATTACACGGGATGAGAGTAGTGTGTAGGGTACTCTGAAGGACTGGATCAAAAGGCTTGATCAGTCTGTTGAGTTCATGGCTGTGTTCTTTGGTCGGATCGGCAGGCAGTTGTTTGTAGTGTTCCTGGTTGTTCAGTTGTCTACGTACTTCCTTGCAGTAGTCCGTTCTATTCTGAATGATGGTGGCTCCTCTTTTGTCTGCTGGTTTGATGGCAATGTTGCGATTGGTCTTGAGAGCACAGATGGTGTTGCATTGGTGACATTTTGCGCTATCTTGTGAGTGCGGCTGATGAATTTGGCATTTACGCATTCCCTGTCAGCTTGAGCATACATGTCAAGCCTATGGCAACGGCCCTCCGGAGGGTTGATCGCAGCAAACTACCCAGCCTTCAGCACAACATGGACCACAACACCATACAACCCTGTCACGGTAACCTCTGCAAGACATGTCAGATCATTGACATGGACACAACCATCACATGTGGGAACACCACCCACCACACGCACGGCAGATGTGACTTGGCCAACATTATCTATCTCATACACTGCAGGCAAGGATGCCCTGAGGTATAGCATATTGGTGAAACCATGCAGACACTACGACAATGGATGGATGGACACCGCACAACAACCGCTAGACAGGGATGTTCTCTCCCAGTCGGGCTACACTTCAGCGGTCAAGGGCATTCAGCCTCAGATCAGGGTGGACTTTGGGATACTTAACAATGCAGAGTCGCGAGCTGAGGCTGATAGCCAAGTTCAG